TCCCCCTCGCAGAGATGAGCTGACGGCATTGCGGAGGTCGCTTTTATCAGCCCTCGCTCGGCCTGCGCCGCTGGCCACCGAAGCAGCCCTGTCTGGCCACGGGAGCCACTGGATCAGATAGACTCCGGGGTGCCTAGGCGTTTCTGAAAGACCCCGACGTAGTCAGTGGCGGGGAGGTAATAGCGCAGCGGGGCGTGCACGTGTGTGAACACCCTGCGGACCCTCTGGCACATACCGTGAAGTGAGATGGCTGCCCATAAGCTTTGGTCACCAGCTCCCGTTCTCACCGTGCTTAGCGTGTCTGGTACCTACGCTTGTTCCTGCCCCGCTCCATCTCTGTGGTGTTCATCTGCTGCCGCCCCGCCACTCGCTTGTTTAAATCTGCTCCAAGTGGGGCCTTGTTCCCTCCCTTACCTGCGGATATAGATATACGTAACGCAAGGCTTGTTTTGTTCCCAGGAGCTGTGTTCCAGCCCCCAGTTCATAACCGGTGGAGCCACCCGCACAGACATCTGCCAAGGGGCGTTAGGTAAGATGGAGGCAGAAAGCTGAGTTTTCCATGCGGGTGCTGCCCCGGGACACCAGAGTTTATACAAGGCTGTAACTCACTCTGCAAATACATCCTTTTGCCTCCTACCACCTCCCTTCATATCAGATTAGATCTTTCTTGCCTCTCCTTGGCAGCTGTGGGTAGGGACCGTGTGTGTTTGGCCTCTGAGCGCAGCCTTGCTGTGTGCACCACATAGGGGTGACACAGACTGGTTTCCTGATGGCTTTTCTGATCTCTGCCGGTTCCTTTCATGTCCGCATCCATGTACCAATTAGCTTGATTAATTTCTGCCTTTTAACAGTCTGCTTAGAAGAGCAGTTGAGTGCATAGCGGGGTGGGGTTTTTTCCCCAGAGGGAGAGGGTGCTGCTGAGCAGGAGGGACCCCCTGAAACCTGGAAGGATACGGTATGGAGGAAACAAATTCTATGGAGGGACTCCCAGCTGCTTGCCAGCTCTCAAGGAAAACACCACCGGGGTATTTCAGGAAGGATGGGCCAGCCTGTGAGCCCTCTGCTTTTGCTGTGGCTGCCACTCAATTTGTGCAATGACAGCCCCTGGTCAGCCACTCTGCAGGAGCCCCAAGAACTGTGGGGAAGCCCCAGGGGACAGTGGGGAGTGGGTGGCTTGTCCTGGCTGTGCATGCACAGCCATCACGGGTCTTGAAGCCTCTCTCCTGCTTTGCCCTCCAGGTGGGGTTTTAGGCAACTGCCTCCATGCCTCTCCTCCCAGAAGGCAGCGTGGAGGCTGGCAGAGAGGACAGCCGTGGCGTTGCAAGAGGAAATAAGCTGAAATGAAAGTAGTCAGGCTCCTATTTTATTCCATAACTGTAGGGAGAGGGGTTTAGATTAGACTGGTAACAACTGCGTGGTTGAGGGAAAGCTCTCAGTGTAGGG